CACATATTCTAGGCTATATGAGGCTGTAATAATCTTTTATTTCCTCACTGATGTCCTATCAAGGAAAACCTTTCTCAGCATTTGTTTTGCTGAACTGAATAAGCAAAGCTCTTTCTGTCTTTCCATAAGGCAGACTCTATTCAGTTTTATCATCTTAGTATTACTTCTTCATTCCTAGTTGTCATAGTTTGAAATTGGCCCCCCTGAGAGGCTGGGGGGGCTCGGAGGTGACTGGGTGCCAGGGCAGTGTTCCCTGGAGGGCCAATCACCACTCATGTTGTTCGCTTCTGCTCAAAATCATATATCACAGCACCGGAAGGGGTTGGCAGTTCTGTCTTGGTTGTTTTGGTGGTTGGTGTCTGCTGCGTGTAGGTAGACAAGGCCAGGGGGTGGCTGGGCTCCCTCTGTTCCCCTCCGGGGCAGGGAGGGGAGCCCTGCGACCCCCCAACTCAGCCTTGGCTAGAGTTAAAAGCAGCATTTGGAGTGTGTGCTGTGAAAGAATTTCACAGCACCTGAGGTAAGAGGGAGGAGGCTAGGTCTTCTTTCCCCCCCCCCTGCAGCTGCAGGATGCTTGGGACAGTACATAACTGAACCGAGCTGCCTGTGGCCAAGGCTAGGGGGCTTTTCCCCCCCACTGCATTTAGGCTGGTGGGGGGTGGATTGGATTTTAAGGCTCAGCATTTGAGCAGAGCCAAGTGGACGGGCTGATAAATCAGCTTGGTGCTTGGGAGAAGAATCCCAGGCAAAACTGGAGACGGGCCAAGAGCTCGGGTGTTGCCCTGCCGAAGCTGACCGGGGGCAGCCAAGAACTGACTTGGAGGAATGAAGATTCCAGGACGCGTACGCTTGATAAGCTACACTGCAGCAGCTTACGAACCAAGGTATGAGACCGAGAGGGAGAAATCACAAGCAGCAGAAGAGCAAGGACTCAAAGCTATCTTCTTGGACTTCGTGAGGAGAGAAACTGCAACAAACAACTTGAACTTGGTGAGGGGGGAGCATTCAGGAGCCCAGAACACTCCCACAGCAAAAGACTGTGTTACGTATCAGCCTTGAAAAGCTGCTCCTGGACTAAAGTTAAAGGAGGGGCTTGAAAGGACTGATTGACAGAAATGTAATATATATATAGTTGCCTTTAGTTTGTATAGTATTTATTTGTGTAAATAAATGTATATACTTCCCTCTTTCCCTACAGAAGCCTCTGGTCTGAAAGTTTCTCTCCGGTGTTAGGATAAATTGTGGGAAGGGTGGGGGGAAGCCTGGAAATTGGATTTTGGATTTCTAAATGTGGTTCAAACTGCCACACTAGTCTAGTCCAAATTTATCTCTTGAAAAAATTATTATTATCATTCCCTGCATTATTTCAAATAAAGAATTACCAGAGTATTGATTTTCACCTTTATGAACTGGAAATATACCCACAGTCCAGGGCACAGTCTTGTCTTTTCAGAGCTACATCACACAGCCAATGCACAGACAATCTGTGACCAATTAATACACTCCAATACTTTACCTCCTTATTGCTTTCATTTGATGAGTCCCCAGCTGATAACAGAAATTCTTGCCAACAGTCTCCAAGTGCACACCCATTTGGCACATAAATTACACAAAGCACTTTCTTAACATTCTTCACAAGTTCTAATCCAGCTTCAGTTTGAGCAGTTTTAATTGCCATTCCACATTCTAAAAAAAAAAAAAATTATATTTGCTGATCAGTAATTTTTTAATTCTTTTCTGTTCTTTTCTATTCCTTGAAGATCTGTCTAAAATACTTATTTAATTATCTATCCATTTCATTCTAGCTTTATTTCTGAAAGCATTTTCCCTGCTTGGATATAAATTCTTGTTACTTTAACAAAAATTAACTTCACTTTCAGATATCCTCTCCAAATTCCTTAGTAGTTCAGACTGCATGAATTTCTTTGGCTTATCTAAGCTCAGTCTTCAAGTCAAGCCCTTTACTGGAAGACACACTTTTGTTTCTCTTTACAAATAATCTAAAATGAATCAACTTATTCAAAAGTCCTGATTAAAATTTACAATGATTGCCCTAACTGTAATGTCCTTATTATTTACACCAACTAAATATAAAATAGTAAAAAACTCTTTTCAAAGGGTTGTTAATGTAATTTTACATGTCTATTTGGTGTAAAACACTTAAGTTCATCCTTGAAAATCCCTGGAATTCCCTCTCCCATGTGAGCTCCACAATTCTTTGGGCATCTTTTCCATCGCATATAGTCCCATAGATCACAAATTCTTTGAAGCCATGCCACCATGGAGAAAAAGAATCTGTGCTTTTATTTTTAGCTGGATAACTAGCATGTTCTCCCAAGTTATGCAAAATGGGAGATAAATAAGCAAGTTGAAGAGAGAAGTGGCTTTAGGTCTTTTTTCCATTTTAGTTTTACTTCTAGGAACTAACTCCCAAAGGTGATAAACAACCAGGTTCACTGACTTACTTTATTTTTCTTCTTTATGGTGTTTTCTTTTATCCTCTCTCAGGACAGGAAGATTCCTTGACCAGTGGGGTTCTGAAGCACAGAAAGGATCTCTATATTTAACACAGTTCTAGATTCCATTCCAGGGAATAAGCAATCACAAGCTAAAACTATATTAAAAATTCCTTTATTAGATCTAGTCCTAAGTGACTTAAAAAATGTTTTCCCTAACTGTATTCCACCCTATCACCACACAGAGTAATTTCAGATGCATTTGATTGGTTTTCAAAAAGAAGTAAAAGGAAAGCAAATGTTTAGTTAATTGATGCATATTTTATACAGGCTTTAGATTTCTTGTAGAAGTACGAATTTACAAATTCACAAATCAAATACAAACCATTACAAATTTATTACCGAGGATAATCTTCTTTTCATAGAAAGTGTAAGATTAAAAAGGAAATAAGTGCCACCACTAAATTCTGTAAACTTCCTATCATACCGCTGTACTTCAAATTAGTTGGTTTACAAATCAAATATATATACAAATCAAATATAAACCATTATCTTCAAGTGCAAGGGAATGAAATGTCATTTCTTACAATTTACATTGTAATTGGAAAAGCTTTTCAATGATGTGCTGGATTGAAAGTCAGGCTGTATTTTCAATAGGATAATGAAATACAAAAATATGATGATTTCCATACAGTAAAAATATTGTTCTTTATGGCTATTGTAGTGCCTACTGTTACCAAAGTTTATCCAGCAATTAATCCCCTAGTGAAGGGTGAAACAGGCTGGTGTTGCTCACTGGGTTTCTCCAAATTACAAATCTGTTTAAGCGTGCAAGTTGCTTAGGAAAAAAAAAACCAAACAAAATGGGTAGTGGCAACAGTAATTTTCCTCCTGTGCTCAGTATCAAGTCCCGAAAGTTCTACCCAACAATTTCCGTTTCTTCAGTCAATTGTTCTAATGTTCCCTCTTTGGCCATTTTCTAAAATATTTTCCTTGAGAACAGATGACCAAATAATAGATATGCAGGTCTTGGAGATGATCCCAGCTAGTGGAGCAGCCTAATGGGTCAAAGAATGAGGGATTACAAAACTGGGTTAATGCCTGGGGTATTCATTAGTGCATTACTGAATAGCTGCAGAAAATGTAACCTTTTCTGTTGAAGGTGACACATTTTGGTAAAGAAAGGAGTTCTACAGGAATGACAATCAGGTCATCCCTTTTCCTAGGCAGCTACATCAACACTGTTGAAAAGGAAACAATGCATTCCTGGTGTGAATATTGGAAAACATACCACTTGTTAGAGATGCTCATAGAGTGCCTGTGAACTGGATATACTGTCCATGTGCCATGAACATGAAAACAGTATATGCACAAATCAATACAGCCCTGCAGTGTGTTTCAGTGTTCAATTATGCCCTGCATACAGCCTTCAGTATAGTGTTCCTGATATACAATCCCTGTCACAGAACAGCAAAGATACTCTCTGGTTTCTGACTTGCTGTGTGCCAGTTTGGCGCTGATCCTTTAAATGCTCACCATGACTTAAGGGGTTATCCCAGTAAAAAGCATATCATATATACCCTACCTTGAACTTAATTTCTGCATCAGGCAGATGCAGGGGTTATACACTGAAATGCAAGGAAAATCACAGAAATTATATACCATAAATGTAGGAGAAAGAGTGAAATGGAGGCTTCAGAGTACCCAATCACCCACACAGGCCAACAGGTGAACGGACTCTAATTTTATTTTCCTCAGTAATCTTCCAGCCTTCCTTACTCTCTGTTTGAAAGTGCAGCAACCATCAACAGACTGTGAGCTACGAGGACATGTTATCTCCCGTTCTAGTCACAGTATCGCCGCAAGAGGGCAAAACGCAAGAGGGCAAAACACCACGGAGGTGCAAAAACTGCCCCTGGGACTCGCCAGCTCGTGTCCCTTCGCTGCCGCAGTACAGACGCTCACGAAAGGGCCGCCGTGCTGCCTTTCCTTCCACGCAGTCCTCCGTGACGCGCAGAAATTCCCTACAACGATTCATAAGTTTCCTTTGTTCCCCCACCTCACTTCATTTAAAGCTTCCTTCTTTTTCTCGCTGCCCATTAAAACAGTCAGGGGCTACTGACGATACCCAGCACTACCGGCTGGCTCGCACCTGACGGTGTCTCTGATGTCCTTGGTCCCTCTCTTTGACTGTACCATGTCGGGCCTGAGAGAAAGCATTTTTTTGTCCCAGTGTCTATTGAAAAGTTTTGGTTTAGTTCTCCCAAATCCCTCTTCTCCACGGTCGCAGCCTGACGCCAGGGCCGCCCCCACCCCGGCTCCATCCCTGCCATTCAGGAGGCGACGGGACGTGCCCCCTCAGGGCTCGGCAGGGCGCGCGCACTGCCCTCCTCTCAGCGGCAGCAGGGCTGGCCCTCAGCCGGCGGAGTCCCAGGCTCCCGGGAGACGAGGGACGTGGCAGCTGCCGGGGAGGACCGGGTGACTCCCTCGGCCGGGCAGGGGCCGCGCTCCCGGAGCGCTTTCCGCCGCCGTTTGTCTCCCGTCTCTTCCCGTTCGCAGGAGCAGCTGCTACTGCGCAACCCCATCCCCGCCCGCTCCAGCGCCGCCACCTCCTCTGCGCTGCCCGGTGAGCTGAGTGGGGCCGGGACGCGCCGCCGCTGCCCGTGGGGCCGAGCCGGGCCCTGGCTGGGCGGGCGCGGTTGCGGAGTGAGCGCTGAGGACACCTGCCCGGAGCGCCCGAGTCGGGCAGACCCCAGCGCCCGCCCGAGGGGGCGCCCGGCGCGGCGGCGGCAGCAACGCCGCTCCCCCGGAGCCTCTCAGCACCGCCGCCCCTGGCCTGGCGGGCTCAGGGGTGTCCGGGCACCGGCGGGCGCGGCCGCGGGCAGCTGCAGCACCTGCGGCGGTGCCCCCCGGTGACTTGCGTTACGCTGGGGCAAGGCGCCGTGTTCCTGCTTCTTTCATCCTTTGTTTTGTGAAACGGGTAATGTTTGTACGTGCAAGAGCATGAAACAAGCAGTGCTGGTCTCATGGGATCTCATGAAGAAAGCGGCTAGGCGCCCATCCCTTGTGTCTGTAGACCCGCTGGGTCGGTTCCCTGTCACAGCTATTTATACGTTCCACATCCCAGCTGTGCCTGAAGACCTGTTGACTTCAGCATCATGCAGCAGGCGGTTTTAGCAAGTTAAGCAATACCTTGCAAGTAGCATTATTTCCTTTTTTTTTCTTTTTTTTTTTAACTGTCATTTAATTACATGAGTTAGTCTTGCTACAAGAGTATCACACGCTGTCCATCCTCTGTAATCAGCTACTGGTCTATGATATGGAAGCTGATCACACAACAGTAGCAGAACTGGTAGAACAGTTCATAGTCGAGAAGGAGCTGGCACAGGAGCAGGTGGCACAGCTCTTCATGCATCTTGCTGCTTTTCTTCTTTGGCAGCCTGGAGACAGTTCTTTACATTTTCTTTTCCGTCTTCCCGTGTAAGTGCTTCTTTATTGAGAAACACTGTTTAAGTAGGGTTTTTTCAAGTGTTTCTTTAAGAAGAAATAATTTGGAGATGAGAAATCAGCAGTAAGTTTTTATGTGTACCTTAATGTCTTCCGTGAAGGTTTCTCTGTCTGGTGGAGTGTCAGCTTCTCCTTTTCTGTAAGCAGGAACTTATGGTATGGACTCTTGTTTGCTAGGACAGCTCATCTAGCTTCTCTCTGTCATGCTTCTTCAAAGCTGACACTCATCTACCTTTTTCAAGACTCTCAGTAATTAATGCTTAAGTTTCTGTGCCCTAATTTCTCTCTGCAACCTAATTATTATTGTAATTTTGATGGCTGCAGTGTTCTGAAGGGGTCACAGGTAATTTTTGAACAAAAAGACCTTGATAACCACTTATGCTACTGTACTCATTCTCTCATTTTTATGTATTTGGTAACTAAGGGCAAGATAGTTGAAATTCTAGATAAAATTTCAACACAAATTTAGACAGTTTTCTTTAGTTCTTCGCTTTGAACATTCAAAAATTTTTAATTGGAGTTTTTTAGCAATGTTTTTGAAGAAGAAATGTCCAAAGCTTAATACATTATGCAATTTGAATTTTACAAGAAATTTAGATATAAATAGGCATCCTTCATTCTTTTTTTCCCTTGAAAATTTATATAATCTGTTTTGTTTCCTCAGTGCTAGTGAAGCTTCACAGAGTTCATCATGCATCTTGTATTCAAGAAGAATGGCTGACCCATTTGAAAGAGTTCACAAAATAACGGTGACAGTTGAAGACCAGGAAAGCATGATCTATGAGGAAAGTGAGAAAGATTTATTTAGCTCAAAGACAACTTTGAAGGGGAGATAATATATAATAAGTGTTTAAAGTTGTTAAATGTTCTTGCACAGAAGAAAAGGAGCCTTTTTGTTCTCTGTATTCACAGAAAATAATGGAAATTACTGGAAAATATAGTTTAGGTGCAAGGGAAAGAGTTAATAAAAGATAAGAAGGTAATGAAATAGTTTTGGAAAGTTGTGAAATCTTCATCAAAGATCTCTAAAAGAAGGCTAGACAAATGATTTTCAAAAAAGGGAACTGGGAGTGACTTGGAAAAGAAATCTTAGGACTCTGGTACTGGTTTTACTGGTCCTGAATCACAGGAAAGGATTTAAAGGTCATCAAACAAAATCCATCAAGGAGCACAGGCTTTTTAACACTCAGATATGTCTACATGCTATTTTGGAGGCAAACATGAACTCACACAAAGGAACTGATCTGGAAGCAGTACAGACAAAACACACATGGCCCAGTGCCAAGCTGAAAAGGCCCACTCAGGGTGACACTGTTTTCTGAGCTCCAAATTGAAAACTTCTATCTTTATGCTGGCACTTTTTGCTGAAAGACAAATCACTTGAACTGCATTTAACTACAAACCCGCTTCAAAATCCTATGTTCATATGCTTTTATTTGAGTTCCAATTGAAGTTATGTGCAAATAAAAATAGAAGTAAATGTTGATGTGATAAATCAGAAACATCTCATTTGCTGTTCTCTAACAGAAACCTCTGCGATGTGTTAACGTGCATTTGTAGTGTTTCTTCTGTCCTTTGTAAGAACTGCAAAAGGCACATGCATGAAGAATTTTAATAGATCTACAGGAATTTTCCTTTTTAAATACTGCTGGGCCAGAAAAACACCGCAGCCTCCTGTAACATAGTGTTAAAAAGTATCCACTTGAGCTGGATTTTTTTCCATGTTGTTCACTATCAGCATTCTTAGTTACACAAATTACAACCTGTGCTATAGACTCATTTCTCTTATGTAAGTGTGGTTTTAAATCAACAGTATACGCTGAACTAAGAACCTTTCAAACTGTAAAAATAAATTAGAAAAGAAAAGACCTATTTTGCAGTAAAAACCACATGCTTGGAAGATATATAGATAAGAGGGATGTTCAAATCACTTCAAATGCCAGTCATCCTTAGAGAGCCTTTGTTTGCATTACTTTAACCTTGTCTTTTAAATATAGCAAGTGCATTTATTCATCAGTCCTTTATTTGATTATTGAGGGGTCTAACACCAAGTGGTTTTTACCCTGCTCCAGTGAGCATCATCAGCCTCAAATGAAGCAGCTGTTCAACAGATAGCAAAGCATCTTTTTCTCTGAGGGGAATAGAATGTATGTAGAGACTTCAATATACCATTTGAATACACAAATGCAGCATATAAAGATATGTAAGGTGTATATCACTAAGTGTAGACCATTTCTAGAATATATTTGAATAGATGAGGATACAGCTATACCTGAAAAGAATGTCTGAGCTAGCCTTGTGAATAAAGTCTTTCAGTCCTTTCTGGTTGGACTTAGATTTGGGGCTCTCACTGGGCTGTTGTAAAATTAATTAATTCTAGAATTGTGTTAAGAAGCTATGAAGAATTAATTAGAACTGGTTTAAGGTGTTTGAGTGATATAAAGAAATTCATGACTGATAATCATTCTTTCACTACCCTATGATGCCTAATGTTATCATAGCAAAGTGATACAAAGTACTTGTAAAATTTATCAGTGTGGATTTACTTTTAAAAAAATCATTCATAGAAGGGTTCATAATTTTATGCATTCCAGTTCTGAAATGTGTCTGGTACAGAAAGCAGCACTGACACAAGTAGGGTAGTAAAAACTTGAGAGATATCATGCTTAAGTTAAAACATTTGAATCATCACGTTTTGTCATGAACAAGACTGGTTACTAGTATAGATTCTTACTTTTTACCTAAGTGTCTCTTCCCTGGCCTTCTGCTTGGCCACCTTATGTTAAAATACATTAATGGATTCTAAATAAAAATTTATTTTTATTTATTGTGATATTGCAAGAAAATATTTGATGTTTGCCTTAATTTCACTTTTTAAGCCTAGAATGGATCTGGTTGTTAAAAGCTGCATGTACACTGGGCCAGGAGACTAAATTATGCACACATTTCTGTTCATCCAGTATTCCAGACTCTTTAAATTTGTAGAAAAAGTAGAAAATCTGCTGATTGAAGGCCTCAGACATAAATGAAAAATAATGAGTAACCTCTCTGTGTGTTTCATAGTCTTTGATTCAGAAAACAAAGAGGAAAAAGAAAGGTAGAAATAGGGAAAATGCAAAAGTCTATATGACTCAGTAAGGCAAACTGCTCTTCAGACAGCCTATAGTGAAGGCCTCAGAGTTTCTTTCCTTAGTGAAAACTAAATAAAAATTAAAAGTTAAAATAGTTGCAAAATCAGATGTTTGGACTGGTAGAACAGAGATTCTCTTGATACTGATTTTTAGTTTTATACTCCAGCTTCCCCATCTGAGCACTGCGCACTTTAGCACTGTGAATAAGCATAACTAGTACAGGGCTTCAATTGAGATGTAGATGAAAAAGATTTTCTTAATTTTTTCATGTAGCTAGCACAAGAGGATAAAAACAGAAGTGGGTAGAAAGAAGAGCTGGAGGACCTTTGAAGAAAGCATAACAAAAAGGGAAGACTTTGGACACAGGTTAGAGAAGACCAGAGAGACACCAGAGAACACAGCAAGACACAAAGTAAAATAGAATATTTGTTTTGTCCTTGATAATCCTTGTGGGCCCCTTCCAACTTGGCATATTCTCTGATTCTGTGAATTTAGGTCATTCACAGGGAGGTTGATACAGGTCTGTGAAAAAGTCTGTTGCCACCAGTAGCGTTGATCCTTCTACACAAAAGAACTTCTAAGGAGCAAGCCTCCAGGGGCATATTGTAAAAGGAGTCTTTGTCTTGCATGGTTTTATGTTGGCATTCAGTTTTGTTATATGGTATTAGATGTGAGTATGCTTATTTAATGTTTAGGATAGCAATGATTTATTTCTATGGACATATTCTGTGAAAAAGGGTGTTCCTTGTCTTTTGTCTAAATATTGGACAGGTTTTTTGCTTGTTTGTTTGTTTGCTTTTGTTTGGTTTGGTTTTAGTTGTTTTGTTGTTGTTGCTTTCTAATTCTTTTATGCAACCTGGAAATAAAACCAACTGTGTCACTTTACTATTAAAAGCATCTAGGTAGTATGCTATACAAGATCAAAGAATGTTTGTGAATAAAGTATTAGTCTCTTCTGCAGTGATGAGAATACTTATAGACTTCAAGGTAGCAAGAGACAAGCGGTAGTGTCAGCAAGTGACCAAATTGTATGTTTTGTGGTCTTTACAAATTGACATGCAGAGCCAAAACATCACAAGCTGAAATAATGAATAACCAAGAGGCTGATGTTCTGCGTTGCTGGAGTTGTAGAAAATACATAGCAAATTCTGTTTGCCTTGCCAAATGCAATGGAAAAGAACTATCTGAAGTAAGTATACCTTCTTTAGAGTGAGTTTGTAAGTTTCTCCAGTGCTGTTTGTTTTAAATGAAGGAGAAGTATTAGCCTCACTTTGTAATTAATCTTGTATGTCCAAAGTATGGTTTGCCCTGCCAGGCTAAAATACAATTTAGTAATTTATATCTTCTTTATTAAAATACACAGAAAGATAATTATACAGAATAAAACTATGACAGAGTATTTCCTACTGTTTTATGATGGAAGTTAGTAATCAAAAGGATCTAGAGTCTTTCCAAATATGCCAAAAAGACTGTGCTTACATCTGGTGATCTTGAATCAAAGTGAAGAAGCAAATAGAAAAGAAAGTCTTGGTGTTTTTTATTAACACATTAGTAATGCTACAACATTCTTTTTGGCACTGGAGAAGGTTATAACCAGTAGATGCAGAAACAAACTTATTTTTAAGATCATTTTTAATTAGTATTGTTAATAAACCTTATTTTAATCACTCCACTTACAGAGCTTGAGGCCCTGGAATAATTTTCATGCTTTATACTTGAGGGTGTTTTTTCTGAATGGTTTGAAGTGATTTTTAGGGAGGGATGTGGGAATTGCAACTCATTTAATGAAAAAAATGTATCCACTTTTTTAGTAGTGGAAAGAAGGGGGTATCTTTGTCCATGCCCCATGGTGACGCTTTTAGTTGTGAGTGAAGATCCACCATCATTGACTGAAGTAGCTCTTTCTCTGATTATGTAGACAGAAGATAAAAAAATGTGTTTTAACGCTATATCTGAAGGTGTTGGGAGGCAAAGATAGTACTATGATGAGAAGAATGATATTTTCAGTATGTTGACTTCCTGATGAATTTTAGACCTTCACTCAAAGACACAGCTGAAATATGAGTGAAAAAGAAAAATTGTAGAACAGATTTTAAAACAAATTTTGAAGTTACAAATATGTATAAACACTTTAAATTAGAATTATATCCAAATTGAAGTACAGGTACTCTCCACAGATAGGAGGGAGACAATAGCGTAGACATGGTAAATGGACCTGTCTGCTGTTAATACTTGGAGAATTTCTAAAAGCTTCTATCTTCTGTGTATAGTCCCACTTTCAATTTTTATCAGAATGAAACTTATATTCCATAATATAGAAGCCTACATTTTCTATATTCATAAAATTTAACAACTGCTTTTAGGACTTTCTCACTAGAATTTCCTTATATTTTCAGCCATCTTTATTACTTTAGTTAGGTAATTGTTTTTTATTTTAGTATGAGTTAGTGAAATGCTATAGGGTGTTAGATTTATTTTTTTTCCATTTAGTTGATCACATTGTATCAGTAAAAACTCTGAAGTTGCTAAGACTATCTGATTTCTCAGCTAGTCATTCTAAACAGCATTAGAAAATTAATGTGAAACTATGTGTGTCCTTTGTGCAGTACTGATCACAGTCTTCTTATAAACTATAACTTACATTTTTCAGATTTAACTGGAAAATTATGCCCATTGATAGTGCTTCTGAAATCATTTTACAAATATTCTTGGAAAAGCTGTAATTGCATGCTCTCTGTTCTTGTAAACAAGACAAAACCACCTCCAGACACCTACATCTCCACTGTGGAGTCTGTCCAATGTCCTTAGATTCAGAAATAGAGAATTATTGACAGCATCTACCTGATTTTTAGAATAAAAAATGCATAAACATATTTGAGTTTAATCTTTTGTTAATATTTACTGAATTTGGGAAGCTGACTTCTGGCTGTATTCAAAGAAAAAGATCTCACATGAATGTTAAATATCAATACAGTAATTTTTTTTTTAACAGACATCACAAACTTCAGCTGTTGCTCAGGACTCTTGCAATGTGAATTTAGATGCCATTCCAGAGTGGGTGAAATGTGTCATTGAAAAGGTAGATTTTTTTTTTTTCTTGCATCTTTACATTCAAAATGTGAAATAACTAAGGGGAACAAGTTTCAAGAACACTTTTCTGCCAAGGTCTATTGTATGTTACAGACATCTTATAGCTGAGGGAATTCTTCTCAGTAACTTCTATCACTACCATTTACAGATTTTTTTCTCCCTCTTAAATGCTGATTTCTTTTGTTTTGTTTTTAATGTATGCAGAAATGCTACAAGTGATAAATTCTGTTTCCTGCTCCTTTATAGATGAGTGTATTGTTTGTCCAAAAAACTGTCATGGGCACCTGTGCATATTTGTCAATGCTTAATATTATATTTATTATCTGTGTTTTGGGGTTTGCTTTGTCTTGCTCGCTATATCTTGTAGTACTAACATATATCTTGACAGTGACAGTAATGAAGCAGAGCAAGGCCTGAGAAATGAATGTGATATTAGCAGAACGAGAATTAGAGAGTTAATTTAGAATCCATGCTCTGAGCAAAAGCATAGAGAACTAAGTCTTAGGAACAGCAGAGATAATAACTCATTAAGGAACACAGGACACTGACACAAAGGACATGAAGTAAGTACACAGGGAAACAGAGAGAACCAAAAATGCTAACATACACATAAAATAGGCATGTGGAGGGGAGACAGAGGAAGATAAGGAAAAAGAGATGAGCCAAGGCCTAGGTACTCTTGCCAAATATCAGGAACTTCTGCCAAATGCACAAGGAAACCATCCAAAGTAGGGAAAGGTCAAAAGTTTATGGCAATGAAGAGGAGGAAAAAGACCCTTCAAGAGGCCAAAGAACAGGAACTACCACCATGTTTCTCCCCAAATTGAAGACCGCGACCCTAACTCCGTCTTAACTCCTCCTGTTAAGAATATTAAAACTAGATGTTGCAATATTATGAATATTCTTGAATAATGATGCAATTGCTTAGCAAAAATTGTATAAAAGTATCCAGATGTTCGCTACTACTTTGGAGCTCTTTTGTCCAGTGTGAGCTGGGAGCCTCCCCAATGTTGTATTGCAATAAATGCCTCGCTACTCAAAGACCTAAACTCTGCCTCTGAGTGGTTTCTCCGCGCCTGTTTGGGGCATAAAATTGGCATCAGTAAGAAACATGTTTCCTCATAAAACTGGGCTGAGGATTTGTTAAGAGATCAGTTTTTGGAATATCATGTGTTGTCTTTTATACTTAATGTGCTATTATGTCATATGAATAGAAAGTAGATACCATCCTACAAACTCAAAGGTCTGATGACAAGCCAGTGTCACTGCTTTTGAGTTTTAACTGCTCATTTGAGATTACAAACCATCTCATAACTTTCCTGTTGTACTGATTGCTTCAGTTGAGTATTTTCTCTAAGTTGTTTTAGGTCTGGAAGTTAATGTTTTTGCATAGAAACAGTTTTTGCAGCAGAAACAGTGCTTTTCTTTTGCCCTACAGATTTTCTTTGATGAGTCTTTGATTGTGATAAGCAAATGACATCTGCATTCTTTTCTGCTTAGACTTCAGTGTCTAAGTTTTACTATATTCTAAGTAACTTCTGTTCTAACAAATCCACACTGAAATTGATGCAAAAAGAAAAACCAAATGTTATGACTGTAAAACTAAGCATTTAAAAATTAAAAAAATTGTTTTCTCTTCCTTCATTGTATTGCTCTACATTTTATTTTGTTAAACATTAATTAAATTATTTTTAAAATTAGCAGTCTTTTTTTCTTCTATGATGAATAACAGAATGGTCTATCTGTTTGAGAAACATTGATCTTGGAGGTGCATTGAAAATTATGGGTCATGAGGTATTTTCTCACTTTACAAAATTGCCTAATCATGAATCCTAAATCAAAAGGATGCAGTTTTTGACAGTACTTTGCCTGTTATATTATTTCAGTAAAATTAGATTCAATATTGATAGTAATATTATTCTTTTCATACTTAACTGTAAAGGAATTCTATTTACCTCTACCTTCTGCATTTGAAAACTTAGAGGGTCAGCTAGGAGACCTGGGAAATACAAAACCCATAGACTACCCAGAAAAGACTTGACATATTTACTCAAGGTTGCAGAGGAGCAGTGCTCCTCTGGTGAAAAAGGCAGAGAACACAGTTCTCTGTGAACACCTTCAACATCTTTGTCATTTAATATCCTAGAAACTCGTGCCTCAAACTCTGGCTTCTCTGGCAAGATCCTGTGATTTTATGGATAAATGTGTGCGGTTTTTAAACAATTCTGAGTTATCTTCAGATCCTCCTGGGCTCTGAATAATTTTGTGATCATGTGTTATTTTCTCCTGTATGACTCCTGAATCAAAAGCTAAATCATTTTACATAAGCGCAAAGTCTATTTGCAGGCTGTAAAAACCCACTGGTTCCCAGCCGGTTCTCTTTCGCCATCTGTCCCTGTTCTTAACTGATCTCCTTGGATTTCATGCACATATTTGTGTATAGATAATCTTCAATAATTGTACATATATACCTAGTACTGCTAGTGGCCTTTATTGTATTTTCTTTTCCCCATCACTTATCACTTGTTTTGGCTTCTTTTTCTAACCATTCCAAATTTTTCGTCTTTATGCAGTCCAACATTAAATCTGTGTACCTTCAGCTCCTTTTCAGATCTTGCTAATTTTTCCCCTGCCACCTCCTCCAATGGTAGGCTGTTACTTCTTTTACTGAGTCAATGCTTTCACAGTCCATTGCCAAATTCATGCTAAATAAGTCTCAGGCTCCTTGGTACCACACCTCATCTCTCAGTCTCTGTGCATAAGGGACATAGATATGTCCTTCTTCTTCCTTACTGTCTCTTGCATTCCCATTTTTACCAGGCTCCTAGCTTTCTTCCCTAATCTTCAGGAATCATTCCTCCTCTCCATTTGAAAATCCAGGATACTATTCCATGCCTGAAAACCTCAATAAAGTCACTAGAAAGTGCTATTCCCTTAATTTTAGTGCCTAGCCCTTGGCATCACCCAGAGGGTGGTTGGGCACTGGAGCAGGCTTCCCCAAAAAGTGGTCACAGCACCAGGCCTGACAGAGTTCAAGAAGCATTTGGATGATAGTCTCAGGCACATGATGCGACTCTTCAGGATGGCCATGTACAGGGGCAGGAGTTGGACTTGATCCTTGTAAGTCCCAGCTCAGCATATTCTGAGATTATGTGCTCTGTGATCTCAAAATGGAGTGCTGGAGAGTAAATCTCTGAACGAGCCTAATTTGTCTTTGGTAATGGCATATGCACACATTGGTCAGCCTCATAAACTGACAGATTGTGCATGTTCAAGGAATTTTGAAGGATTTGAAAGCCTTTGCTCATATGTAAACTGGCCTTTGGTTATATATTAAGTAACTAATCTTTTTTTTTCTCCAAGTTAAAAACCTGTCCAGATTTAAACAGATTCTCATAGGTGTGATACAAGGCACATCTTTGGTGCTTCATGTAATTTCGAGGTTTTAACTCACAAGGCAGGAGTAAGTTTCTCTGATAAGTGTTTCCAGAACATTTTCTAGCACTGTGTGTGAAAAATAACCTTTTTTTTCCACACAAGTTGATGGGGGGTTTTTCCTAAAACTGCAAAATTTGTTTTACTGAAATTTTGTATGGCTTTCAATCAGACAAGTACCAGTCATCAATCTTCCCAAATTACCTTGAAAGCCATTTGCAACTGAAAGCAGTGCTTAAACCAGAAATGTTGGGCAGCTTCTGTGTTCATGGCTCAACCTCACTTTAGAAACATTAGTGAATAAAGTGTGACTGGAGTTGATAATGTTTCTCATTTGGTCTTTGCTCCTACAAATGCCTGCATAACTTTAATCCTCAACAGTGTCTCTCTTGACAGATTACTATATTTACTGAAAATACTAATAGTTGTGTAAATATGTTGTACTAATAACTGTGTAATTACGTAGGAGTTCAAAGATTTTTGACATATATTTTCTTTTGAAAAGGTGACTTCAGGATTGAAATTAAATTCATAAAATTACAAATAATGAAAATAACTGTGTCCATGTAGAGTATTAAGGATTTGTCATGGTCTCTGCAAAGAGATTGTGTTGTAAAGCTACATACACCAAGATACAAGTACCATTTCAAGCTTTTGTGGGGTAAATAAAGTGAAAAACTATATTCTTTTTGTAAGGTATCTCCTTCCACCGTACTTCCACCGTGCAAGTTTATGGATTTCCAGCACTCAGAAAATTCAACAGAGAAACTGTGCTTGCCAGTTCCAGATTAACAAATGGCAAATTGATTTCACTGCTTTAAGAATCTAATGTTTTCATTAGTATTGCAGCATTATTCTATCTCTGGACAAGTTTTAAACATATTTCAAAGCTCCTGCATTTTGAAATGTGTGTTACAGATTTCTTAGTTAACAGTAGCAAGCAGAGTTTTGACCAGAAGATTATCTGTAGTGGATTTTCTTTCTACGGTAAAGTCTCTCAGCCTTTGACTAAAGGAGAAAATAAGTCTAGTGATCATTTCTCACTCATTTATTTTCAGTGAACATGATGGGTATTTTTCTTCTTTTCCTGTCAATAGGCAGAGTGGACAATTGGAAAACCGCGCTGTCCATTCTGTGAGGCCTGCTTAGTGGGCTTTAACTTTTTTTGCAACAAAAGATATTTCTGTGAACAGTTAGTAAATATACATTTCTGCAAAACTCAGACTGACTCTCAACCATCTTTCTCTGTTAAATTGTCAAAATCATGAGGAAAACCTGTCCTCATTTGCCTGTCCTCAAAAATCAGTCTGGTTTTAGCAAGGATACCTGCCACGAAGTGGTAACTGCAACTTTGCAAATCAAAAGTCAAGGACTTTCCTACATGACCAGAAATAATAATGGTCCTGGAAGATTAACAGAAGTGCTTTGTCTAGAAGTAAAAGCTCCAAGATATGAGATGAAAAGTAAAAAGCTTCCCTTAAGGGCATTAAATCAGAACAGAAATCTCTCTTCTTCCTATCCTATAAATGATGCATGCACTGTAAAACCTTTTCACAGAAGATCACGTAGTTTGGATTTACATATCAGAGAGAGACTGTTTTTGTCATCTGTGTTATATGAAACTTGCAGTATGGGAACAATTTACCATGGCCAAAATGAAAACCCACCTGTTTATGCACAGGGTGGCTTGCAATTAGAGTCCAGTAGATGGTAGTTCTTTTCAGGACCTGTGTAGTTCTAGTGCTGCCAAACTACAAAACCAATTTTAAGTTACATCCTTTACCACATTACTGCACAGAGGAACAGAAAGTGAGTATGATTTTGGAGCTCATGGACAATCTTCTGCAAGTATCGTTGCTGATAGGTCACCATTTGTGCTGAAACTTTCTTCACCTATGAGGGCTGTAGAAGACAAAGACTACCTCACACCTGTTGGTCTTGTGCATACTACAAGTATTTCCTTCAACCAAAAGCTGAGAAAGAGAGAAAGAAGCCTGAGGAGAAAGCAAAGACGGTGAGAACAATGGGTACAGAACCAAGTAGGTGATGAAAATTGATTATCCTACTTTTTTTGGTAAAGTTTGATTTACTTATTCTGACGTTCTTTTTATGCTATCTCTTAATACTAGTATAATGTGGAACTGTCCAGAGTCAGGTATCCTGCAAACAAGAATTTATGACCCCTTCCTACATGTATTTTTTTGATAATTGAATCACATTTTTTTCTGTGCAAAATCCAACAACAGTGAGTTGACCTTCTTATTGTTTTATGATGTAATAACAAATTTGAAGAGGGGGAAAAGGCAGTGAAATACAGTGAAATTTAATCAGATTAAGTGATTAAAGAAAAACTAAACATTTAAATCTTCTAAATGAGAAACTAGCATTTCAGTGTTACCAAAGTTTTAACTGATGGCATTTTGAGTTAACTTCACGGTTAAGAATGTTTTAAAAGATGTTTGCATTTATTATTATCATAACACAAATATTTTTCTGTGAGTAAAGAATTGATTGTTGCTACTTAAAATATTAGTCTTTAGTAGGTAAATATTTTGTCTACAAATCTAACATAAAATACTATGTATTCTTACCAACTGTACAACCTTAGTTTCCTTCTTTCAACCATCTAAATCAGAACAGAATTAAAGGCCGTAGATAGTCATGCAATTTTTGGTGGAAGGCAAAGGAGAAAGGCCACAAATATGTCTCAAAATGCTTAAGACAGTTTTTGTTTTCTCTGAAACTTAGTAGAAAGACTAATGATATATATGCCTTTAAAAGAAGATTTCTCATCATAAATTTCTGTGTGGTCATCATAAATACTGTGTGATCAGCAAGAGCAAACATACTAATCAGATAAGTAGTATCTGTTCGGGATATTTTTCCTGCTTTGGGTAGGTTTGTCATTGTGAATTCAAGATTAAGAGAAGAGAGAGAGTTTGAGGCTCTCTCTCTCTCAGTTAAATGTGAGAACCAGCTTGAAAATGTAATGGGTCTGGGACATGCTATGAGACTTTTCAATATGGTGTGCATACTGAAGAGTCTTCATCTTTCATTTTTGGGAAGGGTTTTTGTTTTGCCCAAAGACTTAAATTGACATTGTGGCGTTTTGAACAAAATTTGTTCTTATTTTGTAAAATGCATCTCTGTAGCTGAGAGTAAAGAACATTTCCAAGGTTTGGATGTCTTAATACTGAATACTGGTTTTCTAATAAGTCTAAAGATTCTTAGGTATCTGAGTCCCTAAAATGGCTTTAAAAAGTCCAGGCCTCAATGATGATGCACAAGAACAGTGTATGAGTATTTGCAAAGTTGTATCATCTGCAGTCTCTCCAGACACTTTAACCTTTGTTAGATGTTACTTTCAAGAGTAAAATGTTATACAAAATTTCCAAATTTGTGCTATATAAGAAAGAAAATACTTTCAACTCTTATTCTTGTTAAAACTTACTTAACCAATTGCTACATTATTTCAGTTATTTACATTACATAGCAAATTATATAGAGTTGTTAAATCTGATAAGACTCATCAGTAAGCGTAGGGTTTACAAAGGAAAAAAAATAAAATTAGTATGTAAACTAAATGATCTGGGTTTGAATAGTAGTTTTGAGAAGAAGGTATTTTGAATTTGCATTGATTTCTTTAACCTTGGTGAGAATCTGCAGTCATGGAATGGAGTATTTAAATGAGTCTACTTGTAAGACTGTGTCAAGCAGCATGTGTGAATAGTGCAGCTGTGTTTCTGATCACTGAGATATCTTCCCAGGAATATGTGAATCTAGAAAATCACATCCTCTGTACAGTCTGATGTGTCTCAAATAGAGATGATCCTCTGCTGCCACACGCTCCATTTCACAGCAGCTCACCTCTGGTGTCACTATCCTCCCTTTTCTTGTAAGTTCTACTTGCTGTTGCTTTTCTTTAGCATTCTAACAATCCTTGTTGTCAAAATGTGCATTTTGTTGCTGTGGTACTTTCAATAGGAAGCTGATCTGTGGTACTTCATAACCATGATTTCTAACATACTTACTATGTATTCTTAAGCAATCAGTAAAACTTCATGAAGAGAAAAAAGCATAAACCTCTGAGGATATGAAGTGAAAGAATTTTGATAAATGACAATTGGAAGTATATAATTTAAGCGCTCCTTTAAGACGTACTGATTTGAGGTGAATATCTTCTATGCTATTAAAGGTATTGTGCATCTCATTTTTATCTTTAATTAAAGTTTTTCTGGAAAGCAAGTCGAAGAAAGCAGACCTGTTCAGCCTTTGGAATTTCTTTGTTAAATGCATGGGCTGCTCTTCTAAGATTATTTTGTTATGAGATAACTTATCTGCTAAAGGGTTTTTTTCTGTCCTTCAGAAAGCCAAAGTGTGGCCATAAATGTTGTGTTGTGGCAGACTGCAACTATTTTATTAAATTGAAGTATATACACCTTGCATTGTAAATAGGAGCAATTCTGTGACCTCCTGAAATGCACTTGTCTCCAGAGGCTTGTACTGGTGCAGATTCTGAGGTGTAGGTGCAGACCTGAGCAGCTATCCAACAGCAGAGGGACCCAAGCTTCCTCTGTCTGTTCTGCAAGGGACTACTCTTAATGCCTGTGAGGGGGATGCTTGCATTTTGTGTGCGTGTGCACATCTGTGTTCACAGGGCATTTTTAGGTTTCTGTTAGGGTATGATTATATTGTTAGTGCACGATAATTATATAAATTCTTAGGGTATGACAATAACTACTTAAGTCTAGGAATTGCCAGTATTAGTAATGGTTCTTGTTATTGTTGCTACAACTAGGAAGATGAAGTATTTCTTTTAAAAATTCCATTTTGAGTATATCTTGTTATATATTACATTGTTTGTTAATGCATGAAGCTTGTATTAATTTTCTGAAAGATCTCAGACAAAAATACCATTTGTGGCTCTTCCAGTTATATTTCCTTTCTCCTCACAGTCATTTTACGTAGAGGAAGGCTATATAGTCAGCTTCAAAACTGCAATATCCTCTTGGAAATGATCCTGATTCATTGGGGAAAAAAATATTGGCATTTTTTTGCGTCATTTCTTAATGACACTTCACCGGTTCTTTTGTATCTTTTTGAAAACGTCAATGTTTGTCTTACAAAGGTGACTAATGCTTTCTTGGAAATTCAGTTTCCAAGAAGTGACTTTGTGTTCATGCTCGCAGTGTTAATCTGAACTTAGGAGAAACAGATAGGTAAGATTTACTGCATAGTTTATCCACACTGTCAGGTTCTGTTATCTCAGCCTGCAGCCTTGAGTTTTCATGTCCGTAATCATGTCCTCTAGCAACTGACAGTCTTGTAGTGAAGGTGTTAGGCTTCAAAGGCTTAATTTCTGACCAAAGTTCGCTTAATCTATGCAAGTCTCTTTTTCATCTATAAATTGGTGTACAATTCTTTTTCTTGCATTGTCATGTTTATATTGAAACTGTAAATGCTTCAAGAGTTTAGTTTTGCATTTATGCACTTGGATTTCAGTCACTCTTTCTGTGATGATACTCATTACAAGAATTATCCTCAAACTATTTATGGATTTCTCAACTGGCTGCTGAAGGGCTAAAAGCATTATTTAGTGTTGGCACCAAAGTAAATCAGGAAGGGAATGAGTTGAAATAAAATCACAGCTAGAGTAGTCAAGCAGTATCTACAAAGTTTCAGTTAAGACCTTTCTTAGGGAAATATGAGGACCTGGAGGAATACTATATCTTCCTTAAGTGACTTAAAGAGAAATGAAGATTAAATATTAATATAAAGCTTTTCAACCTGTGAAAGAGGGAAACTCTAATTTCAGAGTTTGAGAACCACTCCTGCTCTTATGTTTAAGTCATTCTTATGTTTAAATCCTTCACTGAGAGCAGCTGATGGTTTCTTTCTATTTACCCCAGAATCTATTTGTGGTCATTTTTGTGTGTTTGGTTACAAATTTCTTTCCCTTCACTCTCTGTTTACTGATCTCCAGCTTCATGCTACATCCAAATTACTGTATGCGGTTCCTTTCATGTGAGATACAGTTACTTTTTTTCTGTTGGTTATCCTTGAAACCATTCTGTGCAGGGCCAAGTCTGCATTTCTTTAACAGACCTCTGAGAAGTTTCTCAGAGCTGTTGTAGTCTCCAGTGCCAAGCCAGTGCCCCTTTTCATGTGATCCTAGGCTTGTACTCCTCCATGTTGTATCTTGGGTCTCCATTTCTTAAGACCTCTGCTGTCTTTAGCAGGCCTGCATTTCTTTACATCACTGTATTACAGATGCAGCTATCTAATTATACATGGAACAACTGCTGTCAGTGGTTGCACCATACAAAGATAGCAAAGGTAAAACAAATTGGCCAGAGACATCTGGTCAGTTAGAAAAATTGCTGTCACAGCTAAATGAAGTAAAGCCAAGCAGCAGGTAGGGCAGAGGGAGTTCAGCCAGAGCAAGCATGACCAGCATCAGCCCTGATGCCTCAGAAGTTCAGTGCTGAGCTTGTAGCTGTTCCTAGAACATAGCATTACAGGGCTATGTAGTTACAAGGAGCAGTATCTTTCTTGACTTGCTGATAAAAGGAGGGGAGAAATTTTGGCCATGAGTTTGTCTTATCTTTGCTTTTGCTCTGGCTGTAACTATTGTTACTGCATGGTGATTTTGTACTTACCACATTAATTCTGTCACTGATTATAAACTGGATTAAGAAGAAGGTATTAAGAGTAATGGATTCATATCCAAATGCATGACTTACCTTTGTTAAATTGCAGTTGTGGTTTCTGTAGCAATTGTATCTAAGTAAAAAAGCACATCTACTGGTTTCTGAGATGTGTCTGGAGTTCCTGTTGCAAGTCTTTAAACTCCAACACTTTTGAGTTTAATTACTTTTAGCTGCAGTCTTTTTATGCTGTTATTTGAGATTCAGCTTTAATGGTGTTGTCTGACCTGACCTCTTCTAGTGTTTAGTAGGTCTTTTACACAATTTGGTGCTAATAATAACCAGTGGGATAGAGAGCTTTGCAAATTTGCTAGGGATTCATCAGGAAGAAACTTTGCTTGCATTGTGTT